AAGGAAAGCCGAGTTCTGGCCGTGGAAGGTTTTGTCAAGACAAACGTCTGTTAACTTTTATAGTTCTCCGTGCTGGCTTGAATTTGTTTGTAAAGTCTTAATCTGTTCCTATAACTCTAGCATAACTTAAAGAGGGTGATGCTTTCTTTTATCTTCTGCAGCCCCATCAAAATGAGGAAGCTGCAGAGTGGACAGAAACTGCTAGGGAAAATGCTCAGGGATTTGTGCCCACACAGCGTGAAGAATTTTCAATTTTTGAGCATTTGTCTTGTATCACAACACTCTGCACATCGCCATGATGTGAAAGACATGTTTGTTGTGTCAGTCTTCTTAACACAAGTGGAACGTAATGCAGGCTCATCATACTTGTGAAGTGAGTAAAGGGTGTTTGAGGACAGGCTGACTAATGTTTGTAAAGCCTGCCTCTGGCTTACCTGGAAGGTGTGCACATGCAGCTCTTCTTGAACAAAGCCTACGAATGAAATCTCAGGTATAGAGGTCAGGTTTGTCTTTTGAAGTCTGGGAAACAAAAGAAGATAGATACTAATGAGTGCTGCTCTAATTTTGTTTGTTTTTTTTTTTTTCATGAAAACTTTTTTTCAGGTAATGTAAGCACTTCAGTTGCCTACGAGAGAGGAAGCAGGCATGTCGGCTCTTTGTCCACCACCATCTCCTGCTGTTGCTAAAACAGAGATCTCCTTGAATGGCGAGTCACCTTTACTAGCTGCCACTTTTGCTTACTGGGACAATATTCTTGGCCCTCGAGTGCGGCATATCTGGGCCCCAAAGACTGAACAGGTGCTTCTCAGTGATGGTGAAATAACTTTTCTTGCTAACCACACCCTGAATGGAGAAATACTTAGGAATGCAGAAAGCGGTGCCATAGATGTGAAATTCTTCGTGTTGGCAGAAAAGAGGGTAATCATCGTGTCGTTAATCTTTGATGGAAACTGGAATGGAGACAGAAGCACATACGGACTGTCAATTATACTTCCACAAAGTGAACTTAGTTTCTACCTGCCACTACACAGAGTGTGCGTGGATAGGTTAACACATATTATAAGGAAAGGAAGAATATGGATGCATAAGGTAGGTTTATTGTTCATTACTAAAAACAGTTGTCCAAGTTGTCTTAAGCAAAAGCAATAATTAATATTCTGTGGTACATGTTGCATAGCAATCCAGACACAAAAATTCAGAGGAGGCTGACCTTTCTATAAATACATAGTTTTGAAGGTTAAAAGTTATCAATATATCAACAAATTCTTCAAAGGTGAGTTTTTTAACCACACAGTTTATCCTGGTGATATATAAGCTATACGAGGCTATCTAATTAAATTAGGTATCCTGTACAGTTTTTCATCCCTCTGAATTTGATATATAATAGGTGCTTTTAACTGTGTTAATTAGTATATTTAAGCTAGATAGAATTGTAAATTTACTGTTTCAAATCATTGGTTTCACTGTTGAGATCCAGAAAAGGGAACTGATGTAATTAACGTTGTCACTGTTGTTAGTTTTATTTTTTGAATTATGTCAATGAGCAGTTTGGCAGGTGTTAAATTGTGTAAAACTAATGGGAGAACCATGAAAATACATCTAGTAAAGTCCAAATACTTCTGCTTTTGGAACTGAGAGATGAAAAGCATGCTAGATTTTTCTGAAGAATTGCAACTCTTACTTTTGGGTAGTTTATGCATAAATCTTAGCAAGTTAAAATTGTTACATATTTTTGTTTAAACAACATTCTAATAATAAAAAGCAAAAATCAATCTGTTGTCTTCATGAAGTACAAGATGTCTTAGAGCAGTAGCTTGTATGTCAGCTGTGATATGTATAGTGATGTATGTTTGTTGAAAGTTTTTGTTCCTCTTCTCTTTGGAGACCTCTGGTCAACTTAATTTAAGTGCTCTTATTTGAACTAATTCATATTCCAGAAACAATAACCTGATGTTATTTGTTGTGGTGGTGTTTTTTTCATTTTCCCATTGATTTTTGCTGTATTGTCTGATTATGGCTGACGGTGTTTTCCATCACATTGGCTCTTGATACTTCTAGGGTGTGTTTTTCAGAGGAAGGATAGGACATGAAGTTTATTTTCAGTATAGTAGAAATACAAATATTTCATTCCTAATCTGGTCTTCTAAAAGCCTGCTGGATGTTAGTGCTTGTGATGTAAGTAAATGCTGTCTCACGTTCTTGGTTACGTTGCTTCACTGTCATTTGCTGCCTTCTGAGCTGACTTTTAACATGAGTGGTCACATAAGTGTTTTCCATAGTTCTTCAGTATAGTACATCTCCTCTTTTTTTGGACATTGATCCATACCAGTATGCTTCTACAGTTGAAGTGGCCTTCAGCTGGCATTGAGAATGACAAATATTTTTTTTTTCTACTAGCTTCCTCAGAAATTTGTCATTAAGTTCTTTTTTTTTTAGATGGTCTTTAAGCACATAAGTCAGCTGGTTTAGCTGAGACTGTGATACTTTCTGAAATAGACATTTATTGTCTTTTTTCCTTTTTTGAAGATCAAAGATCTCTGCATATATCTGCAGTTCTGCGTTGCCTAGAAGAGAGAAAAATGCTTTGAAAATGTAGATTAAAATTTAAGCATGAGTTGCAGAATGATAATGCTGAATTAAAGCAGGCTCATTTTGTAGTTTACTTTTTGAGGCAGTTCAGCAACTACAGCTATAACAGAAGAAAAAATGTTGAAGTCATATCTGGAAGGAACTGTGTATCCGTTCTGGTCTTTATAATGGTTGTGGTTATCAGCTCTCATGAGTTCTGTGTGGAGCTGGACAACACTTCCAGCTAGACATTTGGAGAGAAGAAAACTGAACTCAAGGACTAGGAGAAACATGGAAGCTTTCAGAATGAGAAAGACAGAGAAGCAACTCCAAGCAAGTTGTCTGTATGGGTTTAGAAACCCCTTTATCTACTTCAATTTTATGTTCCGTTGTTTGTCTAATAATGCTGAGCAGTTATATTTCTGAAAAGAAGAGGCTTACATCATTTGTTCAGCCCTACCTCTGTGAAGACTGTTTTTAAAGCAAAGGATCTTCATGATCAAGGATGTCAGCCTTACTGACTCAGAACTCAAGGGTGGAGGTGCCCTGAAGCAATCTGCCTGGTTCCAGTACTGTTTTTCACAGATGCTGCTTCTGGATGGTTGAACGAGTTGTATTATTGTTATAGGGATGTTGATTGTTCCCTATTCATCTGCTCGAAAAAAAGTTATGTAAACACTTTTCCTGCTTGAAGTTGATGAACTTTGAGTAATTCAGTCACAGGAAACTAATGACTAACCAATAAAAATGGAATAACCTGTCAGCAGCTAGCAAAAGATATCATTAATTCTCACAGCATCTTCCTGTTTTTGCATACTGTATTGAGTGCTCCAGTGATTAATGGTGGATTCTCTTTGTGAATAATAACTTGATTCTCTTGTAAGTTGCATTTTGAATGCAGTTTGCTACTTATCTGCTGATGAGCCTGTTTTGATAACTTTGTCCAGTTTCTTTTACGTCATGTTTTGTGTATTTTGAGGCTTCGTGTCTCCTGTACTTGGTTATAAAACAATGTTTTGAAGACTTGTCAGTGTCTCAACATGTGGGGAAAAAAAAGTCCTGTTTTTCCCCGAACAAGTAATTTCTTTCATTCTGGAGATCTCATTTTAATCTTGCTGCATCAGGAACCATCAGTCTGTACCTCATCCATCTGAAAATAAAAATCCATACATAAAGTGGAATTCTGCATCATAATCTGATCATTTGGCATTTTCTTGACCTGTAATGAAGAAGCCTAATGTTTTGTCATTGTCATCACACCCTCCCTTTCCTTCTACTCCAAACGTGAGAGGTAGGGGGCAGAGGAGAGAGCATTGACCTGTTTAAAATGATGTCACGTCCTGCTAATGTCAGCTCTTTAAAAGGAAAAAAGACTTGAACATCAAAATCTGAATCTAAGAAGTGTGACTTCTCAGGGAAGAAGCTGTATGATTTCACTGTTGTGTGCATACATATATAAACAAATACCAGAGCATTTATATGTAACTGCTTCTCTTGCTCAGGAGAGGCAAGAACATTTCCAGAAGATTGTCTTGGAAGGCACGGAGAGAATGGAGGACCAGGTAAGAGCCATCTGATGCATATGGCAGAACATCACAAAACTATTTGACTGCAGCTGGTGACTGTAAAAGTTGGTGCTGCTGCTTATTTTGGGGATCCAGGAAGACACTTTGGAAAGGCTGATGACCTGCCACACACAGGAGGCAAAGTTTCTGAAGATAGGAGAACGGAAGCTGTGCACAAGCTGAAGGAAAGTGCATCTCATCATTGTATGGGTAAAGTGGAAATCTGTGAAGAATATTACCTTTCAGAAAAGGAAAGTCATTTAATTGGTCTTGAAGCTCTGTAAAGGTAGTATCTTCCATAGATTCATGCTCACCTCCTGTCAGGGATGGTGTTTCACTAGGTCGTTACCTTTGCGAGTTGCAGAGATGTACGAAGTGTGTCGCATTGAAATGTGATTGGAAACCCAATGGAGAACGCTGTGAAAGAGTTTGATCTCTGAAACTGTAAATACAAAGTTGTGGCTTCTGTTCCTTGTGGTAGATAAATCAGATGAGTAATTTTGTTATGTTAATAACTAATATGCCTCGTTTTGGTTTCCTGTCATTGTTAAAACGTCAGACTTAGATCTAAAATGCATAACAGTAATTGTGTATCATATGGTATGATCAAAGTATCTCTCTCCAAATACTGCTTGTCTAGGCCTATCAAACTGATTATGAAAATTAGGGTAGAACCATGGAAATATATTTTAGACATGATGTTGAGAAGCAAAATGTGTGTTTCCTGTTCATAATTATTGATGAGCAAAGCCCAAGATGTGTATGCATCAATTTCTACACATACCACTTCCAAGCAATAGGAGGGTAAAGAAGTTTCGCATCTCATATTAAAAGTTCATGTTAGTAGTAACTTCTAATGCTGCACTATGTGCTTTTACTTCAAGCATTTTACTTATTGCACAGGGCCAGAGCATCATTCCAATGCTGACAGGAGAAGTCATTCCTGTAATGGAACTCCTTTCATCAATGAAATCACACAGTGTTCCAGAAGAAATAGATGTAAGTTCTTGTGTTGTTTGCTTTATGAATTAAGAAAAAAAAAAAAAAAGGTGGCTTGGGCACACTGCTTTGATGTTTTCCTTGGCAGACAAAACCCCACAGTTGTCATAAATTCTTGTGTGATTTGGTTGTTTCACACCGAGTTCTCTGAAGTGGAGTTGGGAATGGTTTAACCCAACTGTGCTAGCTCAGTAAATGTAACAGTGCTAGCAGTCATTTTTATGGTCAGCACTTGGCAAACTTAACTGTGTAGGATGATACCATTTTTAAAAGTGGAGCAGAAAGGCTATTTGGTGCAAACCAATGTGAATGGGGAGGTAAGTTATTTTGATGTTGATACCTGTTTCAGTATGATTTATTCTCACAGAAAAAGTCGAAGTGATCTCACATGCACTAATTTAAAGTATTATGGGCAAGGTTATAGGGAAAAAAAATACTGTGAGGCATATGACTTGTGACCGATGAAAAACATTTAATAATCGAGTGACCTAATTTTCAGAATGCTTTGGCTGAAGTCAGAAGAACTTTTTAAGGTGCTTTTTTGAATAGCTTTACAACTTAGCTTAAATAGTTCCAAAACCATTCCCACCAATCATTAAAAGTAAAAATGAATTAATTGGAAGGTGTTGCAGATCCTTGCCTAACCTTTGTTTGTATTTACTTGTATTTCAGATAAGTGACACAGTGCTAAACGATGACGACATCGGTGATAGTTGCCATGAAGGCTTTCTCCTCAAGTATGCATTTCAGTTTTGATTTGTGCTGTAGTAAAACCATTAAAACTTATGTGTGTTTGCATATATGTATATATACATACGTATGTGCATGTGAACTTGTATTAGATCAGTTTTCTCCACAGGAGGGTGGAAGTTGTTATGTACTTGGCTTTTTGAGATTTTTGTCTATAAAATGCTTTAGAAGTTGAGATCTTTTTAGAAGAATGGCTCCAGGCTAATAGCCACATCTCTATAGACTGTATTGCCAGAGTCATTTGCTTTATAATAGAATTCCTATCAAATATAATTTTTTCTTTGATACTTGCATTTCATTTTATGAGGATATAAGTAAAAGTCTTAAATTTTTAAGAAATACCAAAAACAATGGGTTCTGATTACTGCATAAACTACGAATAAGAGTCATTAATGGTATGGCATATGGAATAGTTGCATTTGAGAGCAAGTTGATCTCTTCCTGTGGGAAAGCCTGTGATAGATTTCAGTGTTCTTTTACCCTTCAGAACATTGCCGGTGTAACTGCATTGATTCATGTAGTGCTTAATGCCATCTATTTATGCAGCATCACATACAGCTTCAGTGCTACAAAAATTTATATGTTAAATTAACTAATTTTTCACAATAATGTAGTATTTAGTTCCATAGAGAATTTGGGAAATAATGAATAATGAATATCAAGGAATGGATTATTCTGAACAGCTAGAGCAGTTGAACCTACAATGATGAGCTATTGTCATACCAGATGGGGTTTTATTCGGCAGGTACTGTAGGGTGTCACTTACCTCTTGTTGCTACTTCTTCTCCTTGAAATTTTGTCCTGAAAAGAAAGCAGTAAGTTGGCCATTTGTGTGAAAAGTCCAGATACCTGCATTTTAGCTTATCTGCAAAGCTTATTAGCTCATCTAGGTTCAAATTTCAAGTCTTAAGTATAGTGTGGTATGGATTTGTACACGTTGACTCAGTGAAAATTGGATTAAACTAAACAAACTACCATATCAGCAACACCACCCTCTAAAATAAATGGTCATGCTTTCTTAATAATTTCTAAATGAAACTGAACATGTACTTCTGTGCCCAAGGAAGAATTTGTAAGTATTCAGATGGTCCTAAATTTAACTCTTAAAATATTATTGATAAGTTAAGTAGTAGCAGGTCCACTATAAAGTCCACCTGTAGAATTTCAGAGCCTGAGTGTAGCTATTATAGCCCTTATCAGTTAGAGAGGTGTTTATCAGAACCAGTTAATCACAAGTCATCCTTCAGTAAGATAGCATATATGTACTTCTATATATTCACAGATACTGGAGGAAAAAAATTTAATAATATCTAGTATTTTCTAGAGTATCTAGAATTTCTAGATGAGACTTTTTGAAGCTGTGGGGACAGCTCTTGGTTTGAGAAAGTTCAGAGGGAAAGGGAGAATGAGTGTAAGAAAACTGGGCAGAAGTTTCTTAAAGAAACAGATCTGTGCTGCTTGCAACTCAGAAGACAAGAACACTCAACTTCCAGGATGCCTGTGTGGATTCTGAGGGTCTAGAGCTTGTGATGTGCTCTTGCCCATGCAATTACCAAGAGTAGTTACCTGCCAGGTCTCCCAGAACTGGCTTCTGATCCAGTTTCATAAAATGAGGACAACCATGGAATAGAACTTCTGTCAAGATGCTTTCAAATGCTTTATTATTAATATACCTTCTCTTACTTTAGATTAAATATTTTATACAGATTCTGTACTACACTCAGATGGTAGCAGTAGACAGTTTTTGCTTGCTCTGCAGCTGGTATCTGGAAGTTCTGAGTAGCAGACTTTTTGTTAATCGAAACAAAAATGTAGATACTGTTGAACTTTTGGGTATCAGCAGAATCCTACATGGCTGCCTGAGGTCCTGTGAGTATGGCCCTATAGGTATGGGCCTATATTTACCCTAGAAACACTTCATTCCTGCGAAGATGGTAATTGTTTTTCTTGAAAAGTCTGATTAAATTTATTAACCTATGGGTTTTTTTTATTTACAGTGCAATTAGTTCACACCTACAGACCTGTGGTTGTTCTGTAGTTGTTGGAAGCAGTGCAGAAAAAGTTAATAAGGTAATTCATTTTCTAATAAACCAAACTTAGATGCTGATTATTAGAAGTGTTAGTGTGTTATTTGGGAAAAAATGTTGTCTGTAAACATACTTGAGATCGAAAAAGGAGAGAATATAGTTGATGGGTTACCTGATTTCAGCTGATTGGTCTAGCTGTTGATAGCTCTACCTGAAAATTCCCTTATCGGTTATATTCAGGCAATTATAGGAAAAAATTTCATTGATACTGTATAGAAACAAGTAGTAAATCAGTCTGAACTATTAAAATTATGCTCCTTAGCTAAAACAAACAACTTGAAGAGATCTGAACTGACCAGTTTGACTACGTTAACAGGCATTGTCTGTATACTCTTAAGAAATTAGTATGCATAATCTCTCCTATGCAGGAGAATGAATGTACTTCTGCATGGTGAACTGTGTTTCACAGAACCTCAGAGCTGTTGGGCCTGTGGTCACACACAGGTTGAAACACACACGTTTACTAGGACCTTAAGCCATTCTAGCAGTTACATTTTTTTCTTCATAGCTGTGCTTGTGTTGACTTCATCTTCAGTCTGTTTAAAACATACTTGGTAAATAAAGGTACAGATTAGGAGGTAGACCTTAAATTACATTTGACTCAGCTTCCCAGAAGAACCGGAAAAAGACAAAGTACAGATATAAACCCCCTAAAATGAGTCCTGTAACAATAGAACACTCAGTGTATTGTGCTTGACAGAGTACATCAGTAGGAATGATGTTTAGGAGCTTTCAGGTCTAGAAACAATGAACAGCATTAGCTGTACCTCTTAATGCAGAAGAGTATATGTACGTCATTATGGTCTGTTTGGGAGGAAGGAGGCTTGGGAGCTTCTGAACGATAAAATAATTACATTTTTGTGGTAGACATTATTTTTGCCACACTGTTATTAATTTTACCTCTCTTTTAAGCTTGTTACAAACTACTTAATTTGAACCACTACGAAACTGTCACCTGTACTGCTTTTTCTCTAATATTTTAGTGTAAATTGAGAGTTTATTGATGCTTATTTTAAGCTTACTTGCTATGTGAAGGAAAAATCAAATTAGGATGTTTTCTTTATTCAGAATTCTCCAAGTACTTTTTTTGTACACAGTTTACAGTTTTTTGAGTATGCCAAAATGCTCATTTCAGATAAATTGAAAGTAACACCCAGAAGAGATACACTTATGTTTACTGTCCCTTAAAATATTTCCTAGGGCGTTTTATTTTAGCATACTGCAACGTACCAGCATTTTGTTCAGAGACATTTGTCTTTAATTAGGTTGTTGCTCCAGTCCTAATAAAAATGCTGAAGTTAGATTTCAGTTAGGAAATTCAGAGACAAATAATGAAGAAAATGTATTTCACTAAATCAGTTTCCTCTCTACATTCACAGCTGAGTCCTTTAATAATCATCTTTGATTCAGTACATCCCTGCAGCTGGTAATGAGAAAAAGGATTTCATAGCAGTGTGCAGTCCTAGAGCCTTCAGGGATTGGACACCACTGCACTCAAGTATACCAGTACTGCTGTACTCTGGGCCAAGCAGCAGCCATAGTCCCATTTCCTGGGACCTCAGTGAAGGTCCTACAGTGCTACAAGTAGAGAACCAGGATATTAAGATAACTTTGTTTTCTGATAGACAATGTTTTTGTATATTGAGCTTTTCTGCCTGATTATGGTTTTAATTGTGATGTACTAATAATTGAGCTCTGGTTTATTTTGTGTAACTGAAACCATCCTTCGAGGAAAAACAAATTTTACTTCTCAAAGTTGATGCCCTTTTTGATATATGTATGAGTGTATCTGTGTGTATTTCCTTGAGAGTGAAATGAAAATTAAGAACAGTGGGGCCTGCTGAATAAATTATATTTTAATTGTATACTGTACATATTATGTATTGTTTGTGAAAAGTATATTACTGCAGTGAAATTTAACAGTTGAATTTTAAAAAAAATTCAAGGAACCTTCACTAAACCTATGTTTTGAAGTAAGCTGTTCATGATGCTTTATAAAAATTGGAGGGAAGAGACACATTATTTCATGTATATTGGCAGTGATTTTAAAGCATCTCTGATCAAATGAAAAGTAAATGCTTATGCTGAAATTAAAAATTATCATGAGCAACAGGGGAACCAGAGAAAAGAGAATTCTCAGTTCTTAGCTGAAATCAGCTTATCACAATCAATAGGTATTGTTTCAGGGATGTAAGATTAGCACATGATTAAGTTAGAATAATAGAAGAAATGTTAAAGGCTTAAGAGGTTACTAAAAGCTGAAAGTTCGATTATGAGTATGTAAAATAATGTATTGATAAGCTAGACACTATAGAAAAAAAAAAAAAACAAAAACAAAACAAAACAAAACAGCATAAGAATGTCAGTCTTAAGATACATCCAAGGTATATACCATAAATTCTATGCAGGTTCCTATCAGCAGTAAGTTCTTTGTATCATGGTGCAACTGCTCTGAATTAATTGTTTTCTTAATGGTGTACTTTAGCTTTCTTTAAAGTAAAAAGTCACCCTTTTCATCTGGCTGATGTGGTGAAAGTCAGAAACTAGGCTGCCCTTGTTTTTGATAATAAATACATTGTGCAAGAACAGAGCCTTATCAAAAACTTTGCAGACACAGGTAGGACACCACAGGTTAAGACTGAAGATTTGCAGAATGGAATGAGCTTTTGTATTGAGAGATGATCACTTAAGAGTTGATTACTTTTAGCTGTTGGAGCAGGGGAGTTTGAAAACAGATAATGAAGTGCCTTTGTTGCTTTTAATGGAGAGTTTGGGGAAATTACTGAGGAAATAAGCATGGATACTTATTTAGGAAATTGACTGTGCCTGATTGGAGACAATAGCTGCTGTTTCAATATGGAATGAATAAAATAAGAGGCTTAAAAGGCTAGGAAAGTAATCACAGTAACTCATGTTTATGTAATAGGAGGAGGTGCCAGAGGGCAAAACTGATTTGTTCTACATAGTTAGCTAACAAACTTTGCCAAAAACAGTTGGATTTTTTCTTTCTTTGTCAAGTTGTTGGGGCAATATGGCTTACAGCTTATTAATTTAAGCCTGTCACTGTTCTGTGATCTTTCTCAAGTTTTGGCTTTTCTAAGATGCGTGATGAACTTCTTTGTTCATCATTTGAAATGCCTTGATATATTCTAGTCAGAAATTTCATTTGAAGATCAGTTTACCCCTTATACTTCCATGTTTTTAAGAATTGTTCTTTTTAATGCAGATTGTGAGAACATTGTGTCTGTTTCTTACCCCGTCAGAGCGGAAGTGTTCCAGGCTCTGTAGAAATGAGTCTTCTTTCAAATACGAGTCAGGACTTTTTGTTCAAGGTTTACTCAAAGTAAGTACGTTCAGGAGAGTTCTGTTCTTCTGCAATTCAAGTCTTCTGTGTATGTACGTGTGTGTGTATGATATGCACACACACACACACATGGGTGTTCAAAGAAATACATCATCTTCCCTCGATTCCTTTCTGATGCTATACCTTTTCTTGTAGCTATTTGCATGTTGACGTTTCAAGGAAGTCTTTTTTTCTGACACATCAGTTTCTTGAATATTGTGCAGAATTCTTCCTATACTCTGAGGTACAATAATAACGCACTTTTGCCCACCCGGGGCTAGAATCCAAAAAGCCATGCAGTTTTTGTGTTGGTACCAAACCCAAAGAAGAACAGCCCATCAGTCCTCCTGTTTCTGAGTATTTTAAAAGGGCTGTAGCAATGAGTGAAGGTGAATGTAAAAATAATGCTTCCTGCTTTAGTGAGCTGTCTGAACTTACCAGGTAAATATAATACTGTCATTTTAATAGGTTTACAAACCAAGTTATGCAATACTGTAATACAGTAATACAGGTTACCTCAGTACCTGTTTTCACTGTTACATTAAGGGAATCATCCAGTATGAAGGATGACTTTTGACTGGGCTACAACCGCCAATTTTCTCAAATAAAACATGTCTAAGCAAAGGGGATCTAAAATTTAGGTATGACGCTTTAATATTTTTTTGTTCCAGTATAGCTTTGTTGTTTGCTTTCCAAGTAACTAGAATTATTTTTTTTCACTAAAACAGGATGCAACAGGAAGCTTTGTGTTGCCCTTCCGCCAAGTAATGTATGCCCCGTATCCTACGACACACATAGATGTAGATGTCAATACAGTGAAGCAGATGCCCCCTTGTCATGAACACATCTACAACCAGCGTCGATACATGAGATCAGAGCTGACAGCATTTTGGAGAGCTAATTCAGATGAAGAAATGTCTCAAGATCGTGTTATTCACACAGATGAGAGTTTCACACCTGATTTGTATGTACTTCTCTCTGACACCTCTCAAAGTTACTTGATTTGGGACAAGAAAGTAAGAAGTATACGAGGCATTGTTGCTTTTAAGAAGCTCCCTCAGCTCTGGTAGTTGCATCTGTTTTGGAAGAGTTCACCTGTTCCTTCAGCAGTTTTGTTGCATCAGATGAGTCTGAAATTCATTCATAGTGGTACTTCTGACCATGTTATGTTAATTGTTTTGCCTGTTTTAATTAGGAGTATAACGGAGCAAAGTGTATTTGACAGGGCCCAGTGGCTTTCCTGGATTGGGTTACTATCTGGAAGTTTTGGATTAAAATCCTGCATTGGCTTGAAAAATAGCAGGGTTGTAATTCACTAAAACTTTAAAATCACTTTTAGTTTCTGCTATGTGCTATTGCCCTGCACAACTGTTGGATAGTTAGTGTCCCTTCCTAGAACTACCTCATGTTTGTTTGCTTTCTATCCTGTAGAAATGTCTTTCAAGATATCCTGCATCGAGATACATTAGTAAAAGCCTTCCTGGATCAGGTAATCATTGCTTTTTCAGAAGAAACAAGAGCTAAAGTTCTGTACTTTGAGCCCTAGTAACATTTATTTACATTAATAGATAATTTATTGGCTTCATAGCTCTTTTTCATACTAGTGCTATCATTCTTCCCTACATACCTAGAGAGAAAAATACTTCTGTTATTTGTAGTACTAGCATCGTACTGAAACATCTTCTTATGTATTAAAAACAATGCACATGCTCTGATGCAGTACTACAGTGTCTAAAAATATCTGAAAGTTAGAGTATTGAGAAAGCTACCTGACTGGGATTAATTTCACAGCATTTTAAAAAGGAAAATAATAGTTCTTCCAAACAACATCATAAAACAACTTAGTTTATTGCATATGAGCAGTTAGAAAACTGAGAAAGTTGATTATATCTGCAAACCTGGTGCTAATGTGCCCGCTTTGCTGTAATGAGGGATATGTTCCATGTGTATGCGATGGTTCTTTATAGTCCATATTCTTAAAGTGATTCTTGAATTTCTATGTCCGGTTAATTTTCTTGTATCATTTTTAACAGATCTTTCATCTGAAGCCTGGCTTGTCTCTACGGAGTACTTTCCTTGCACAGTTTCTCCTAGTCCTTCACAGAAAAGCCTTAACTTTAATAAAATACATAGAAGATGACACGTAAGTGAACAGATAATACCAAGCAAGCTTTGCGAAATTTCCTCTGTTCTTTTTCACAACACCCTGTTTTATTTGCTTGCAGGCAAAGAGGAAAAAAACCTTTTAAATCTCTTCGTAGCTTAAAGACAGATCTTGACTTGACAGCAGAGGGCGATCTGAACATAGTGATGGCTTTGGCTGAGAAGATGAAGCCGGGTCTGCACTCCTTCATCTTCGGGAGGCCCTTCTACACTAGTGTGCAAGAACGTGATATGCTCATGACCTTCTGAAGCTCCCCGCTGCTGACGTGCACCGTTTGTTGCAGGGTTGTGTGCACTGTCAGTCTGACCACCACGCTTGTGACAATCATTGGCTGGGCTGAGGATGGAGCATTAGGAGCACAGTAACACTACAGTCTGTCCAAAGCAGGACATCAGTCTTGTTAGAGGGGATATCAGCTTAGCTAGGCAAACATGATTTTAATGAACCTGCCTCTTCTTTGCGCTTTAACAGTACGAGTGTTACCAGAGGTTACCAGAGGTTCCTTTGCCACATGGCCTTAGCAGATCAATTTGAACGTGTTTTGGTGTATGATAAAGGGAAGCATTTTAATTTTCTTTTCCCAGACACTTCCTTCAGGTGTGTGTCAGTTTTTCTCCATTCTGCTGTGTCAGTATTTTTAGTGTTTTCACAGAAAACAATACATACGTCCTCTTTAATCATGGAGGTTACACAATAGGGACCTTCCAAGAGTTTCAGAGAGGTTTTAAAAGCCATGTTTTTATGTATGTAGTTCAAATCTGAAATATGTCTTCCCTCCTCTCCCTTTTTAACACTACTGGCTCCTTCATTTAGAGCATTTAAAGGTGTTTCAGATTTTTAATGTCCTACAAAGTACTGTTCTTGTGTGCAAATCGTTCACTACTGGCAGCCTAAATAGCAGCAATCTGCATGTGGGAACTGGGTTATTATTTAAGCAGCTTTGTGCATGTAAGTGCCAACCAGGGTACTTTGTCACAGATTTTTGGGCCGTCCTGCAGCGAAGTGTTCAGTGGCCTGTCATAATTTAGCTCTTTCAAAAACAGAAAACATGCCATTCAGCAATAGCTGTCAGTCTTCCTGTCTGTAAACTGCTGCTAGTTTTTCCATTATCATTTAGAATAAGGTTCAGATTAAAGCATTAGACCTTCCCAAAGGACAGCGAAGTGATAGCCAAGCCAAGGTAAAACAGTAATTTTTTTTTTTTAACATTGCCATTAATCCATTTTGTAATCCTTACTTCACAGATGAACACAGCTATGAATTAATGTGATTAGCATTTTGCCAAGTGAATTCTAGTCAATAATCTTGTCAGTCTTCCTACTACATCTTATTACATCTCCAACTCTTTGCTTTCCTTGAAGATAAAAGTATATTTTTTGGTTTTATGCCTCCACCTTTATTTCTCAGTAGCATGTACAGCAGGATGGTGTCAGGTTAATCCAGACTCATTTTTTTTGAGTTTTGACATGTTTAGGTTTTTTTTAATTGAAATTGGTGGTACATCTGTACTGCATGTTGTTGTATTTGTGCTCTTTTTGGACAAACACAGGAATATATTTGTGTCATGTTTTAACGTAACCTCATAACTCAGTATTCATTGTAATGAATCAAGAGATGCAAGTTGTGATTGGAGAAGCCACAATTGCATTATTGCTTAAATTGTTTATAACACCCCTTGGCAAACGGATTTCTGCTTTGAAGATAGCTTTTTAGTGTCTCTTTCATGCAGTGAGGCATAAAAGTTAACAAAAATTATATTTGCAACTTTTTCTGACGTGCCCGATACTCGGATTTTAAAAGGAACACTGTTCTTTATGTCCAGAATTCCCTTAGATTTCCTGAAAGACAAAGATTCACAAATAAATGTTTAGAGTTTCTGAAAGACGTGTAACAGAGCCCTAGCTGCACGCCGTTTTTGTGAGTGAACATCGTCAGTGTTGCCTGGTTCAATAAGCAGTCACATCTTGTGGAGCTGGCTTTGTGCTGTACGTGTGTGTAGGACTTGCTGTGAGCTCAGTGCTTCCTCAGAGGAACTTGTCAGAATTAGGCTGACCTGAGTTACTTGTGCTGAGATTGGTTGTCTTCCTACCATTATTTCATCCTCCATTTTTAATCAACTGATCCATTAGAAAAAAGCCTGATTGTGCTGTTTTTACTCTCATGTTTTAGACTGTGAAAACAAAATGTAACAAACACTGCTTAAACTTCTAACGTAGAAGTTGTGTTGAAGTCTAGCTTTAAATGTGCTGCTGAAATTAATCACATCAGCTTGACCGGCATTGGAAACTTAATTTTGACACTACTAACAGGAAAGCTCAAGATGCTGTCACTTTTTAAAACTACTAAAAGCTGAGAACTTTCTCAGTCGCTAATTCTGTTGAACAGCTGTTACAAGTGCACTGTCAGAAGTACAGAATGTATAGTGAAGTAAGTTATTATATGCATCTGCATGTGTGGTAAATCTTGCTCAGGAAACAATGTATTCTAATAAAATCCATGCACAATTTTTGACCTCAATTGCTGCTGATTTTTTTTCATAGAATTTCTGTTCTGAATCTGATAGAACCATATTATATCCTTTCAAATAAAGAAGAAACCTGTCTCCTTCTCATTCAATTAAAAATTATGCTGAAGTGGTAAATCAGAATGTCATTAATAGAAAACTTTATTTTTCTTAATGATTCTGATTCCACAATTATAAACTAAGGTTGGAAAAGACCTTGAGGATCATCAGGTCCAACTGTCACCCAACACTACCATGATCATGAAACCATGTCCCCAAGTGCTACATCAACAATCTGCGTGAGGGGATTGAGTGCACCATCACTAAGTTTGCAGGTGATGCCAAACTGAGAGGGCGTGTGGACCTGCTTAAGGGTCAGGAGGCTCTGCAGAGGGATCTGGACAGGCTGAATCGATGGGCTGAGGTCAGGTGCACACGGTTCAATGAAGCCAGGTGCCGGGTCCTGCACTTGGGTCACAACAACCCCAGGCAAGGCTCCAAAAAGAGTGTCGGGAAAGCTGACAGGCAGAAAAGGACCTGAGGGTGTTGGTGGACAGCCAGCTGAACAGGAGCCAGCAGTGTGCCCAGGTGGCCAAGAAGGCCAATGGCCTCCTGGCCTGGACCAAAAACAGTATGGAAGTGATCATACCCCTAGACTCAGCACTGGTGAGGCCACAGCTGGAGTCCTGTGTCCAGTTTTGGGCACCACAGTATAAGAAAGACATTGAGGGGCTGGATCGGGTCCAGAGAAGAACAAACAGGCTGGTGAGGAGTCTGGGGAACATGTCCTATGAGGAGTGGCTGTGGGAACTGGGGTTGTTTAGTCTGGAGGAGAGGAGACTGAGAGAAGGCCTCATTGCTCACTGCAGCGAGCTGAAAGGAGGTTGTAGTGAGGTGTGCGTTCGGTCTCTTCTCCCAAGCAACTAGCAATAGGACAAGAAAAAAAGGGCTCGAGTTGCACCAGAGGTTTTCACTGGATATTAGGAAGAATTTCTTTACTGAAGGTGTGTTTGAGCACTGGAACAGGCTACCCAGGGAGGTGGTGGAGTGACCATCCCTGGAGATGTTCAAAAATATCTAGATGTGGCACTTGGGGAAATGTTTTAATGGTCATGGTAGTGTTGGGTGATGGTTGGACTTGATCTTAGAGGTCTTTTCCAACCTTAATGATTCTATGATTTGAAAAGGGAGAATTTTTAGTAGCGTGTTTTCCCTGATCTTGATTGCTAATCTTTGCATACCCATAAAAATAGCACAGAAAGACATCTGCTGGAATGTCTTATGTTTTAGGATTGCAGAGTCTATCTATCAGTATGTGTCATGGTTACAGGGGCTGGGACCAGTTTATCCTTCTGTGGGTAGAACCAAAACTGTATATTCTATACTCTCTCTGTCAGTGCTCATGGGCTGTTAAGAAAATCATGGGTAGCAGCTGCCCAGGACAGACCTCACACCCCAGGCTATAACAGATAAGGAAAGAGGTTCAAGGTCAGGGGAGATGTTAACACCTTCCCACCCAGCAGGAGGAGTCCTCCCTGTTCATGGGCCCATCCATGCCTCGCCCCATGACTCATACAGAACGCCCCCCCAGGAGCTATTTCTGTTTAATGGACCATCAAGGACCCACTGCATGACTCATAGACTGATATCAACCCACTGTGAGATGCTCCACCCAGGGGGAGGAGCCAAGTGCTCCCACCTGGATATAAACTGGGGTTCAGGACAGCACAGGGGGCCTTACCCACTGGATTTCCAGAGGACAAGAGCTACCAGATCTTTTTCTACGAGACCACTGTTTCATCTGGACTGCTACCACCACCCTAACTACAGAGTATCAGGTTGTATTCTGACTCTGTCTGTGGTTTTCCTTTGTATTATTGCTTTTATTTTATTTTTTTTTCTTATTAAATTGTATTTCTGACTTGGAGTCTCTCGCTGGTTTGTTTTCAAACCATTACAGTATGTCTTAATGAAAATTTTATTCTGGAGCAAGGTGGGTGTTCTGGTAATGTTCTTACCCCTGAGTGTGATACGCCAATACAGAGTCCCAGGACTTCTAGACTCCATTCTCCACTGAGGAAAGGTGTTAGAAAGATTTCTTTTCCTATCCTCTGTTGCCTAATCAGAGCCTACAAAGAATGTACTTTGTCCTCTTTCCAACAACAAAGAGGCATAAACCACATGCCTTAGTATGCAGAGTAGGTTTTTTTTTCACATAGATAGAACATGGTTGTGTCATTTAATCTATGTCATGGCACAGAGCTACAATCTTAACTGTTATATCTCCTTCTTGGGCAAAACCCCAAGGAAACTCCATGGCAAGGAATGTCAGCTTTGTTTACAAGGTTGTTCATGTGATACTTCAGTTAAAGGGACCAATTATCTTGCTTCTCAAAGCCGTGCTGTTCTTATGCAGTCCAGAAATTTCAAACACAAAAGACTTCATAAGTATGAAAAGAGGACACAATCCTGACGAGATCCATTGAATAAATTTTCCTTCAGTCTAGCTAAAATAATACAGCTACCCTGAAAGAACTACTAACCTTTGATTAGTGTAGGGCAGCTTTTCAAAGCAAAAGATCATTGGAAAGAGAAATTTCTACTTAAAAGAGCATGCAGTGGCAACTGTGATCTTTTTCTTCTTTTAGACATTCCTATCTTTATTGTCATGCAGGTGGTGGAGGTCCCTGACAACTGGAAAAAGGTCAAAACACAAATCTAAGGACCTGCAGATTGGCCAGTTCA